TTTCTCTAGCCTCTATCATATTTTTTGTACTAATCTGATGCATCTTGGTGCTTTATTGATAACTAATACCGTTTTTCCATAACTGCAGGAACAGGAAATGGCATGGCAAAATCTCTACTAGATGCAGTTGGTCAGCCATGTGCTGCATCTAATGCCATTTTTTCTGTTATCCGAGGTTAAAGATGGTGTAGCTAATTGTTTTTGTTATATATAAGAAATGAAGTTCCCTTTGATTAAAAATTTTTTCTACTTAATGACAGGCCATAAGCGTTCACTAGATGTAGCTACCATCGTACAAGGGGAGACAAGGTTCTTTAGTGTTTTGATGCTTGCATGGGGTATGCATATAGTTCCCCTTCTTGATGCTGGATTTCATATATAGAGTGGTTGTTAGCTTCCCCCATCTGGATATGTTGGGAAAAGGTTTACAATATGTGAATGGAGTTTTTGACTGGTGGCAGGAGCTTTGAAACAATGCTACTTTCATTACAAGATTTTATTTTATTTATAATTATTTTTAAAAAAATTTCAGGTCTGGTAGCAGATATCGACATTGAATCTGAAAAATATAGGTGGATGGGGAGTGCTCGTATTGATTTCTATGTATGTCTTCTTCCATATTGTTCTTATAGATTATTTCATCCTTGCATTTTCACACTCATGTTAATTGTGTTCAATTTTGTTATCTTTTATTTTCCTTCTTAAACGTCTGCAATCTGCACCGCAACTGAGACCTGTATCAATATTCCAAAGATCACTAGCAGTCTAATAAATTTTTCTGACAATGTTTGGTAATGGAAAATCCCATGTGTTACTGTTTGACAACTTCCAGCTTGTATGGGCATTATCAGTCCAAGCATAGGGTCTTATATCTGTTAGGTGGCATGTTTTTCTGTATTTTGGTTATCTGGAGCATCAGTTAAAGTTTATTTTTTATTATTAATTTAATTTTAGTTGAGATTGATTTTTGTGGACATGGCAGCACTTGTCAAATTTTTGGAGTAGTTCTGTGAAAACCTGAGAAAGTGAGAATCACTTGAATTCAATTACTTTCAAGATGAACTTGTATGTAGTCAGGCAGTTCATATAAAGAAAAATGGTCTGACATGAAAGCCTTCATCCCCGCCTTTTTATGTGATATGGAAAAAATAAACCTTTCCATTGTTTGGAATTCTCACCCTTTAAATGGAAGAGACACAACTTAGCTGCAATACTGCTGTCCCAATTGTAGAAGATTAAAGTTGAATAAAATTAATTCTAAAATAAGATCTAATAGTGTTATTTATGCAGTCATTACAATTGATTGCCTGACTGATTTTGTTGCTGCTTATTAACCCATGTTCCAGCTGTTGCAGCTGATTTAGAGCAAAGCTTCGATGGTGCTAAAACTTTCCTCTTTTTTTCAGAAATTAGTATTGAGAATTTTGTCTTTGTTTTCCCCATCTAGGGTCTTCAACGGATACTACAATTGAGGCTCTACAGTGGACACATTTCTTTTGTGCCTGCACCTGGCTTTGAAAATTATGGGGAGCCAGCCAGTTACAGTGATGAATCAACAACCAGACAGAATCCAAGCCAAGAGCAGGCTTTAAAATTCCAACATCATGGCTACCAAGGTCCTAATGTTGAGTTGGAGAAGCTAGATTGGAGGACTATTAGTGGTCCATTCGTTTCAGTCTGGTTGCATAATGTACCATGGGGAGGTGAAGAAACCATGGCTGCACCTAATGCAAAGGTTCATTTTGGGCTTATCGTGAATCTAAGATTCTCAATAACTCATTAAGGATTATTCCTTTTTTTTTTTATTAGTTTGCTATCCCTAAGCTGCCTACACCAAAACTGCATGTGCATCTTACCTATTAGTGGCATTAGCATGATTTAGTCCTGAATTTCTGACTTTTCAATGTGCTCACTGGAATTGATGCAAAAGCTGATGAAATTCTTTTCCTCTGCCTCATTCTTGGTACATAAACATAAAACAATGTAATTGAGAATTTTTCAAAGATGAATTCTTTATGGACGTGTGTATGGAACCAACTTAAAGGATGACTTAACTGTTTCCACTGCATTCTGAGAAATAAGAGAATCCTATATGTTTGTCACAAGTTAAAAAGGTCTGAGATTTCTAGAGACTGTTAACTACATGAAGCTTGTTTTGCTAGTTCTCTTTGCTATCAAATATTTTGCAATAAGCTTCTCCAACAGTAGTGAATGAATAAGCAAACTTAATAACATTCTGACATTTCATTTCTGTTTCTTTTGGTGATTTATTTGCAGTTTTCAGATGGTTACTTGGACTTGATTGTAACCAAAGATATCCCAAAGTTATCCTTGCTATCATTGATGACACAGTTAAACAACGGAAATCATGTCAAATCACCACATGTCTTGTACCTTAAGGTGAGCATGCTTGAATAATAACAAGTAACTCAGTACTTTTGTTATCCTTTATCTGTCTGGTTAGCATGAAAAAGAAAAACTATCATTTTGATGAAACACACTGTAGACTTCTGATTTCTGTTAGATTATCCAATATCCGAAGACAGTTAAATAGGAAGATTCCCACATGGTCAAGTTTAGTTCTTTATAACGCTCAAAACCATAATTCTCAATTTTCTGAACAAACAACAGGTCAAAGCATTTGTTTTGGAACCTGGTCCACGTGTTGATGATGAAACAAAGGAAGGAATCATAGACTCAGATGGTGAGGTCCTAGCCAGAGGAAAAGGGACATACAATTGTGACCAAAAGGCACTCATGACCTACAATAAACTCCAAATTACAGTTGATCAAGGGTTAGCTACTCTATTTTCTCCCATATAAGTTTTGCTCTTGTATTTAAACACAGAACAAGAAGCCTTTCAAAGTTGTTTCCACTGTTAACAGGGAACCACGATAAGAAATAGGATAAATTAACAGAAATTCTTTAGTGTATTGCATGCTGAAAGGTTCATACTGTTATGAATATTGATGCGATTTAGTCACAATCAATTCAAAATCATTTGGGTTTTAGTTAATTACTCGAAGTCTCGGTTTCTCTCTCAGTTAAAAGTTAAAACCTATATGTAGAAGTATCCTGAACATTTTATCTTGAATTGAATTGGTTCCTGCTGGAAAACAATGTCAATAAGGATGTTATTTTTGTATTTTTTTATTTAAAGATGATAAATTTATTAATTGTTAAATAATAATATTAACTTTTAATTTTTTATTTTTAACGGATGTTAACTTTTAATTTTTTTATTTAAAAATCAATTTTTAACTTTTCTTTTATTTAAGTATTAATTTGATAAAAATACTAATATGATAAATGGATTTTTTAATCAGAATGTTGAATTTTGATATTTTTAAATAAAAAAATTAAAAGTTGATATCATTAAATAAAAAAAATTTAAAATTGATATTTTTATTTAAAAATTAATAAATTAATATATTTTAATAAAAATACAAAATTAACATTTTTATTTACACTTTTTATCGTTCCTGCTTAGTTGCCTGTAGGGGTGGCAATTTCCCCTGATCCCCACGGGACCCAGCTGGGATCTCGGTCACAAGGACGGGAGGGGAGGAATATTCCTCCCCGCGAGGCAGGGATGGGGGACATTTTCTCTCTGTGAAATTTCGCAGGGAATTTTTTTCGTCCCGCAGGGCCTTGCGGGGATCCCATCTCCGCGAAAAATTAAAAAAAAATTTTAATTCAATTTAATATTTAAAATAAACCCAAACCCAATTCAATAAAAATTAAATTTTACCCAACCCAAGTATCCAACCCAACTGGCCAACCCAGCAATCCAGCATCCTCTTTACAAGTTCCAACCCTAATTTCATAATTTTATTCATTTCCCCTCCTTTTCTCCTCACTCACGCACGCAGCCACAACCCCTCACTCACTCTTGGTCTCAGTCGAACAATCAAGCTCTCAAGTCTCACCTCACCTTCAACCTTCAACCTTCCTCTCCCCTTATTGCTGCTACAGATCTACTACATATTTGTTGTTGGAGCTGCTACAAATATGCTGCTGGAGCTGTTACAGATCTGCTCCTAGAGCTGCTGTCAAAGCTGTTAGCTGCAGCCTGCAGATCTGCTCCTGTGCCGGACTCCCCTCTGCTTGCTGCACTGTACTGTGCTGGACCCCCTCTGCTTGTTGCACTGTGCCGGACCCCTTCTGCTTGTTGCACTGTACTATGCCGAACCCCCTCTGCTTGCTGCACTGTGCCAAACCCCCTCTGCTTGTTGCACTGTGCCGGACTCCCTCTTTGCTTGCTGCATTGTGCCGGCCAATATATGTTTCTTTACTCAAAATGAGGATATGGATTGTGATGAAGATAATAATTTAGAGGTAAGTATGCATGACCCTTTTTTATACTAATAATATAAACAATTTTTTTATAAATATGTTAACATAAAGTATTTACTAATTGTATTGTAAGTTTTTTATGAGCAATTGTGGATTTTGAGAGCTAAAGTGTTTTGAGTTGGTTTTTGGCTACTTCCCTTCATGCTGAATGTTGGTTTAGTTTAGTTATTTTATTTATATTGAGTTGATTTTTGCTTATATTTGGAACAAGTATATTGCTTTATGTTGCATTAATTTCTATGTATATTTGGAACAACTTATGTTTGGAACATGTTGCTTTATGTTGGATTAATCTCTATTTGGAACAATTTTGTTGATTTAATTATTTGTATTAAATTAATTTTTATTTATATTTGATGCAAAAAATATATAATTTGTTATTAATTGGTGGGGAATGGGGATCCCGTGGGGATTTCCATTCCTCATGGGGATTCCCATTCTTCGTGGGGAACGGAGATGGAGGACAAAATCTGCTCCTTGTCAAAAATTCTCGCGAGGACAAGAACAAGAAAGCACTCCCCCACCTCGCGCGGCCCCATTGACATCCCTAGTTGCCTGTAGTGTGCTAGAAATGGTATTGCCAGAAAATAGAAAGGGTTCAGGTCACATGAACTATTGGGCCACACAGGCGGCTTGGCTCGGTTGTGTCAATAATCAAACTGGAAAGGCCGCTTGATTCAGGGTGATCTTATGTGGTGTCAATAGTTTGGGCCAGAGGTAAAAAAGAAAAAAATCGAGCTTCCTTTAGAGTCGGGCTGTACTGTTCAAAACCATGGGCCTAGGGCCGAGAGCGATACTCGGCTCATAATTCACGAAGAAAAGTCAAGTCTATGGATGATGTGGGTCCCCCAAGAAAATGAAATTTGGATTCTTAACTTCTTAGGGCTTTCGTGTCTTTGTTTACGGCTTGCTGGGAATCTCTTTCGCACCGAAAACTGCCGTAAAATGCCGATCAAGATATCGTAGAGAGGAAAAACAAAAGAAAAATGAAAAAAACTGCAAAAGTACGTACTTCCAAAAATAATTATGAGGGGTGGGAATTTTTGCATTGGACGGTGTTTGTATTTTAGGTTAAACCTCAATTTGGCCCCTCAACTATTATATAAATTTTGATTTGGTCTTTAAACTGAAAAAATATTAATGTAGTCCCTCAACTATTATACAGATTTCTGATTTGGTTCCTACTGTTTACTAATTTTCTTATTGTTTACTAATTTGATCTTAAGTTGATCCTAAAAAATAACTAACGTGTCTATTATTTAATGATAAAAAACCATTACTTAACTGTTATACGTCATATTAATAATGAAACACGTCACTTGTTTTTGTACGAAAAAATCAATTTGGGATTAAATTGGTAAACAATAGGAACCAAATCAAAAAAATTTTTAGTTTAGGGATCAAATTAAGGTCTATACAATAGTTAAGGGATCAAATTAAAAATTGAACATATATTTTATAATTATTAATAAAAAAATTATTTTAATATTAAAAATTTTATTTTTTTATTAATAATTATTAAATGAGCGGACAACGTTAGTTGGATAGATTTATAAGAAATGAAAGAATTAATTTCGAATTAACAATTTAATGACTATTCATATCATAATTAATTCTAGCAACATTTTGATGGTTGTATTTAATAACCTGAAGCCCAATTTCCCTTTCGAACGAAAGGATAATATTGTATTATTGAACCAAATGCACATACTCCTTTTAAAGAAATACAAGAGCCACATTTTCTTTTACATTTTTCCTTTTAATAACACCTTTCCGATGATTGATACGGAAGATAAACTTATAACGGTGAAATATCGACCATGGGAATTGATCGCCAAAAAAAAAAAAAAAAGGTAAATGATCAATGCAAAAAATTACAAATTTTCCATTAATCAATGAAAATGGAACTCATCAAAAGGATATTTGGTTTATGACGTAGTTAAATCTCAAGTGCATGCCTCTTCAATTCAAAAAGAAAGCTTCTCTACCTCTTATCAACTTCTAATTATAGTGATAGTTTTTTTAACTTGTGCTTTATAAATTAATTAGTATTAATGTAA